TATATATATATATATATATATATATACACATACACACACACACACATTTATGCAGAATCCTGGAGGTCCTGGATAATGCACTGGACTACAAGGTTGATTTGAACTGCAGGATTGGCGGTTCAAACTCACCAGCTGCTCCTCAGAAACCCTCTACGGTGTTGCTATGGATCAGAACCGACTCGACAGCACTTAACAACAACAACTTATGTATTTACGTATAACTTCTTTCACTCAACTTTACATCTTAGAGATTTATTCATGTTGTGTTATGCTACTGTGTTCATTGTTTTTTATTGTTTGGTAATTTTGCATTTTATAAACATACCACCAATTATTTAACCGTTCTATTGGTCAGTGGTTCAAAACTACCAGCTGCTCCGCGGGAGAAAGATGAGGCTTTCTATTCCCATAAAGATTTACACCCTCAGAAACCCTGTACAGGGTCGCTATGGGTCGGAGCTGACTCGACAACACTTAATAACAACAACAACAATTGTTGATGGGCCAAATTGCCAGTTTTCAGTGACTATGAAGAAAGCTGCTACAAATCGTGCACACATGTGTTGATGGTTATGTGCACTAAATTCTCTGGGTTTCTAATTAGAGGGAGAATTGTGGGGTCAGGTTTGCATATATTTAATTTTAGTGGATACCACCAAATTGTTTTCTAAAGTTCTTGATCAATTTACACTCCTCCAAGCAATGCAGGAAAGTACATATTTTTGCTAATAGTTAATAGTGTTAGTGTTTTTTCTCAATATTTTATTTATTTTATTATTATTGTTGAGAACATAATGTGTACAGCAAAAATACACTAATTCAACAGTTTCTGCATGGATCAGTCAGGAACATTGATTCCATTTAAGTTGTGCAGCTATCCTCACCCACCCTTCCTGAGTGGGTCCATAAACTCACTGCTCCCTGAGCATTCTGTCTAAGTTTTAAGCATCCTGCCTAGGTTTTAAGCATCCTGTCTAGGTTTTTAGCTGCTGTTGTCAACTTGATTCCATCTGTGACACTTAACAGCAGATAGATCTTGAACGAACACAGTGTTCAAGACAGGTATTTTTTAACTAGTTAAACCAAATTATTGTTACATTTTAAGATAATTTCAGGTGATATTTTTGGTTTACATTTTAAAGATGATCTCAGGACAATAATTTCAGGGGTTTGCCCTGGTAGCGTAGTGGTTACGAGTCGGGCTGTTAATCTCTTGGTCAGCAGTTTGAAATTGCCAGTGGTTCTGCAGGAGAAAGATGAAGCTTTCTGCTCCCGCTAAGATTTACAGCCTTGGAAATCCTATACAGGGTCAATATGAGTCAGAACTGACTCCATGGCATATAACCACCACCAACCACTGCCCAGCCTCTATGGCTCCAGATAGTCTAGAGTCCATGAGAACATTGTCAATGTTTTTTAATGTTAGCCATTTGGATGAGTGGTAGTACAAGGGAGCTTCAAAAACTTGTGGAAAAAAATGGAATTGAAAGATAATGGAACTTTTCCATGAAAATTTGAAGCCCCCTCACATCTCATTGCAATTTTAATTTGCATTTCCCAGATGAGTAATGGTGCTGAGCACCTCCTTATTTAGTGGCTGTTTGGATATTCTGTTTTGTGACTTGCCTGCTTCAGTCATTTGTCCACTTTCCAGCTGTGTTGAAGTTTAATTTACTTATAATGAAATGCATCTATTCTAAATGTCATGTTTGATGAGTGTTGACAAATGTACACGTCCATGAAAACTTTAGATCAATCAATATATAGAACATTTACATTAGTACCCAAATATGCCCTGTGACCCTTCAGATCACTTTTTCCTATGCCCACTCCCAGGAGCCACTGTTGTACTTTCTGCTACAATAAGAGTCTTTTCTGGAGTTTCACATAAATGGTGCTATAGAATCGTACTTTCTGTCTTCTTTTGCTCAGCATAGTGTGTTTGAGAGTCATTGTTACCATAAATGCCAATAGTGCATTCCTTTTTATTGCTGGGTAGCATCCCGTTGTGTGGATCTGCCGTCACTTGTTTGTCCATTCATGTGGTGAGGGACATTTGGGTTGCTTCCAGATTGGGGCTGTTATGAATTAAGCTGCTATGAATATTCATGGGCACTTGTAGGGTTTTCACTGGCTAATTTTTGGAAGTAGATCACCAGGTGTCTCTGGTCTGTCTTAGTTTGGAAACTCCGCCGAAACCTGTTTATATGGATGATCCTGTTCATAGTTGAAATAACAGTGGCATAGCTTCCAGTCTCTTAATAACACACAAGCTGCCACAGTATGTATGATAAACCGAGAAGACTTGGCAAAGGTTTGTTCTGTTATACATAAGGTTAGGGAGTGCAGTGGCTCTGTAGGATAAACACTGGACAGAGAACCATAAGGTTGCCAGGTTCAAGCCCGCCAACCACTCTGTAGGAGAAAGATAAGACTTTCTGCTCCTGCAAAAATTTACAGCCTTGGAAACACTATTCAGAGTCGCTATGAGATTGTACTTAAAAATAACAACAATTTACACGAGGTTGTCATAAGTCATAACATATTCAAAGGGAACAAATGACTACAACATGGTAAGTGTTATCTTTTCAAGAAAAAACTGCCTGTTTTATAATTAGATGGTCTTCCTTTTTCTTATTGAAAATAAACAATTTGTATGAATTTTTAATCTGTTCTAGGTGTCAGATCTTTGTTGGATATGTACATTCTAAGTATCTTCTCCTAATCTGAGTCTGAGTCATGGTGTGTCACTGTGGGTTAATGGGCCAGACTGCAAAGTCATTTGAACTGCAAGGTTGGCAGTTCAAGCTCACCATCTTCTCCTTGAAAACCCTATACAAAGTCACTGTGGATTGGAACTGACTCGACTGCACTTAACAACAACAACAATTTGCTGATCACCTTTTCTCTTGATGGTCTTAGTTTTTTGTTTTTTCCTTCTTTCTACTCTTTTTTTTCTTCAAGTTTTTATTGTGAATTATGTGATAGTTT